CCACCGCCCCCCCCCCCCCCCCCCCCCGTTTGTAGCCGTTCCTTCTTCTTAGTCATTGTTTAGCAAGTCTGGGCCAGCAAGAAAAACTCCCAGCCCAGAATGCAACCCGGGGCTTCGCTTGCCTTGTGCTCGGCCTTCTCCGGCCAGCGTTTTGTTAATTGGTTCCGTCGTTTACAAGGGTGTTGGGCATCTGCATATTTGTGTCTCCCATGTTGTATAGGCGGAGTGCATCAGTCTTATTATAAGTCACACGCAGGGCAGCCATCAGGGGGGGTACGGCCGATACTCAAGTAAGGGGCCCGGGCAGCCTGGGGGGCCCGCCCGGGTCCCTTACATGACTATTGGCCTCCGGTGAAGGGTGAGGAGGTGGAGGCCTGGCCCTAGCAGCGCAGGGCCCCAGCATTGCCACTCCAGCAGCTTTGAGACAAGCTAGGGCCCCATCAGCTACGCTGCTCGTCTGATGTCGGACTGGCCGGAAGTGTTGTCACGTTAGTGATGTGACGTCACTTCTGGCCGGTCCGGCGGCAGACAAGGCCATATACTAAAGCCGTGTAAGGGGCCCCAAAATTTCTGACGGCTGCCCTGGTCACACGTGTCAAACTCAAGGCCCAATCCGGCCCCCCGGCCCATTTCCTAGACTTCTACTCTCCGATCTCGGTATGAAGTGATAATGATGATAAAGATTAGATACATTATATCGTCTTACAGAGATACCCTTTGAGGGCGACCATAATGTTGATGCGGCCCCACCATTAAATGGAGTTTGACGCCCCTGTATCTAAGTCGCGTTCCCCTCCTCCAGTCACCGGAACTTTCTATTATAGTTCTATGGTGCCGCCGTGCCGACGGGGGAGGGATACGGTTAACGTGTCTTCTGTGACTGGAATGGGAATAAAAGGTCTGTTTATAAGGAAGATAAATAGATTTAGTGTCATTAGTGCTCCGCACATCTGTTCCCCTCCCCCCCCATCCCCGGTCTTTTTGTATCTTCGGGGAAAAACAAACAGGAAAAAAAAAAGTTTTGGGATTGAGCGTTTTGTCTCCATTTTCGGGTCCTTCTCTTTAGTGTGTCTGTTAGAAGTCTCTGTAGCCAAACTGACACCTCTGGCGGCCACTTTCCTGTTTGTTTCTTTCCCTCCAACGATTTGACAGATCTGTCTGGCATGCCTCCAGTGTACACAGCTGATTAAGAAATGTTTGCTGCGGTCACACCGTGCGGATCCTTCCAGGGATCGGGAGGATGTGATTGAGAAGGATAACAGGTTCACGGGGTGAGGGGAATGGGGGTGGGTTGGATTCCAGTAGAACCGGATATTACACTATCCCGAGGAAGCCAGCTGTCCCGGGGGGCTCTGGGTTTCAGGTGTCCCGTCTAGTGAGCGGCGCAGCGCCGGGCGAGGTGCTCCGTGTACATTGCAAATCTTATCATTTGTGTCTTGGAGCCAATTTCCTATCACATCATTCCTCCGATTCAGTGACGGGAAGGAAGGAAGGCCGCCTCATAGCGCCATATCCCTCCAGAGACGTCACTTCCTGGTGTGGCCTTCCTGATCCAGGGTTCCTCTAGAGGTTCTTCGAGCTGTAACCAATGTATGCCTCTCATAAAAGTAACTACTGACCCCAATGTAAGGAGCATTCCCCCCACTGACCCCCAATGTAAGGGACATTCTTCCCACTGACCCCCAATGTAAGGAGCATTCTTCCCACTGACCCCCAATGTAAGGCACATTCTTCCCACTGACTCCCAATGTTACATAGTTACATAGTATTTGAGGTTGAATAAAGACATTAGTCCATCAAGTCCAACCTATTAGGATCTCATTCTAGGAGTACCTGTACCCCTGTATATTACGGTCCCTTAAGAAATCGTCCAAAAGTTTCTTGAACAATTCCATGTAAGGGACATTCTTCCCACTGACCCCCAATGTAAGGAGCATTCTTCTCACTGACCCCCAATGTAAGGGACATTCTTCCCACTGACCCCCAATGTAAGGAGCATTCTTCTCACTGACCCCCAATGTAAGAATCGTAATATTGGGTGAGATGAGGACTGCCTTGCATTAGTGGTCATTGGAAGAAGAGCCTCCTTACACTGGTGGTTGGTTGTATAAGGACCCAATTATGCTGGTGGTCATGTATGGGTATGGGGTATATTCTGATTTACATATACTGAACTTGGGTCTGTGGTGTGATGACATAGCAGATGTACCTTCTACAGACACTGCAAATGAGAGACTAGGAGGGACTCGCTGAGCATAAGAATCCAGCAAGTACTATCGCCTGATCAGTATACACATCGCCATGGAGGGCCATGGAGGGACCATGCAATAGACCTCACAATGTACAATGTGATTAGAGAACATGGCCGACCTGGACCGTAGTGGAATGGAGGGAGTCCTCGGCTTTTCCTTTCCATTGAATGTTGTGTACACCTCCCCGTCATGTTCTGAGCAGCTTTCTTCTCCGCACAGAGCGGATGTTGGGACATCTCTCACCGCCAAGTCCCACTAAGTGGCCGAGGTCTTTCAGAGGTGTCGTCTGGTTTGTTCTTAAACCCCTGGAGAGATCTACCTATTGTTTGCGGGTTCCTCCATTGTATGGAGTGTGTTTGTTCATTTACAAAATCCTTCCTGTGCCATTCAGCTGTGGATGTGACGGGACTAAGTATTGTTTGTGACAGATTTGGCTACTGTGTGCAGTTTATATCTTCTGAAAGAAGCGGAGACTTAACTGTTAGCCCTCTGCTGTCTACATTACCACCCAACATGACTCCATGGTTGCCCTCCGCTTTCTTCATTACCACCCAACATGACTCCATGGTTGCCCTCTGCTGTCTCCATTACCACCCAACATGACTCCATGGTTGCCCTCTGCTTTCTTCATTACCACCCAACATGAGTTCCCGGTTGCCCTCTGCTTTCTTCATTACCACCCAACATGACTTCATGGTGGCCTTCTGTTGTCCCCATTACTACCCAACATGAACTCCTAGTAGCCCCTACAGTCCCTTGTACCACCCAATGTGGCCTCTGGTAGTCCCCTGCTTTCTCTATTACCACCAAACTGGAGATTTTTTGTTAATAACATAATTTGGCCTTACTGAGTTTTTTTTTGGTTGTGGTCCAGTGGCCCAATAGGCCAGTCCAGGTCTTCATCCAGAGTGGGATCGGTCAAGTTGTGCAGCTTTGGTATAATTTCTGACTGGTGGTCTGAAGCTGATGTAGACCAACACACATCGGTTCCTTGGATTTGGAATGGGTCATTGTTGGCCTTTGTGGTTTTTTTTAACTATGTTGCCTATTTGCCAGAGCCAGAGGTCCCAGGCCCATTGTCAGAGCCAGAGGTCCCAGGTCCATTGTCAGAGCCAGAGGTCCCAGTCCCATTGTCAGAGCCAGAGGTCCCAGTCCCATTGTCAGAGCCAGAGGTCCCAGGCACATTGTCAGAGCCAGAGGTCCCCGGCACATTGTCAGAGCCAGAGGTCCCAGGCACATTGTCAGAGCCAGAGGTCCCCGGCACATTGTCAGAGCCAGAGGTCCCAGTCCCATTGTCAGAGCCAGAGGTCCCCGGCACATTGTCGGAGCCAGAGGTCCCCGGCACATTGTCGGAGCCAGAGGTCCCCGGCACATTGTCGGAGCCAGAGGTCCCCGGCACATTGTCGGAGCCAGAGGTCCCCGGCACATAGGCTAAATTGTAGCAGTGTGTACAGTGCCATGGAATGGTCAGCTTCCTCCGGAGCCTTTTGGAGACTTCCATCTTCATTACTTACGGATCACGTTACTGAACTGTTCTAAACTAATAAATACGCTCTACAAGCATTTGCTTTCCATCTGCTTCTTAGAATATGATACTGAAATGTTCAAGGTTATATGGCCGGGATATCCTGACTCCCCGAGAATTGTTTTTAGAGGGAGGAATAGAGCTAAAGGAGAGAAAAGAATTATAAAAAGGAAATGAATTGCAGGAACTCCGAGATGAGGAGCAGAGACGAGATCAACTTACAAGCCAAAAATACACACAAGATATACGTATGGCTGTTATTGTACGTGGTGGAGAGATTTCCCTCACATCCTGTCCCAGCGACCACACAGGAAGTAAGGGGGAATCTTTCCAATTGGCCCTCCTCCACAAAACAGAGAATTCCATCAAACGGGAGTTCCATATTGATGGTGACTCCAGGTGATGGACCACTGTCGGGGTCTGGTTGAATATCCTGGGTTGGTAGCCGTTGTCTCTGATTAGGAAGCCACCTTTCTTAGGACTCGTTACTAATCCTCAGAAATCCAGTTTTCAGTCTGTTTGTTGATATGTTCTGTATGATTTCTGCCGTCACCTTGGTGCTAATTACAACATAAATTGGAAGCTTCGAATTCCAGAGCCCGATGTGATGGTTTGGTGAAAGTTTTAACAACTAGAGGAGAGTGGGCCTCATGACGAAGAACGTGTCCAACA